TACCATAACTATCCTACAGTACAATCTAGTATTCGTGTTCACCCGTTCTCCCCTTCCCCAATCTAGTATTGGGCGCCCCACATTACTCATTTCATCCTCGATTTCTGGCCCCAGCTTCGCTCCTTTCTGAGCATGACCTCCTCAAGCTCATTTTTTAGCTTGGTAAGTCGAAACATTTGAGGTTCAGAAATGTTTTCCTCTGATGCCAGTTTGTCTAGTCCCTCCACCTTGTAATGATTCTCTGAATGCGTCTATATTCGGCAATGAACATGATAAATTAGGGTTAAAAAACTCTTGGAAAAAGCCATGTAAAAGGCTATGCTACAAATTTTAGAGTTGAAAACAGAAAATTGGGAAAAATTAGAGAGAAAAGGAGAAACCAAATTGTCTGTTGATCAAATTTTTAGCAAGTTACACAATGCCCTTAGCTTTCATATTCCCTGACAAGCTTTTTGTCTAACTTCCCAACTACACTGTAATTGACAACTATAATTCCATCCTAAATAATTTAATTCCTCGTAATAACTGGATTACCATATTTACACTTTTATCCATACAAAAAAAAAACATGCACAGAGAGAGGGACAGACAGACAGAGAACAAGAAAGCACTCTTACCCAGAAACAGAAGCTGATGCAGACTTGACCCACATACCATAGATCCCATAATCCTTCAGTCTGGACATCAAGAAACAAAAAAAATAAGTAACAACAAAAAAATTTTACCATGTCTCTACAACTAAATATGTGTCAAGCTGTAATCATAATTAATATGACAGAAAAATAAATTTTGTGAAGAAAAGTATAGAACTAATTGTCGGAACAGGATGGTGAATAATGATCAGTAACCCTAAACTCCAAATCAATCACATGCCCCTTCGTCAACCCTATATTCCACAATTGCAGATTATTTTAATAACCCATCCGCAGAATCAAGGAAAAATGAATGTTCTTACTCCATCCTGTTCAGCCGAGAGCATATACATCTTAACTGGGCAGCTACATAAGTTCCAAAGCAAATAATAATTACATCCAGAAGAACCAGCAGCTCGTCTCTGATTCCTATTTTTTCCACTTTTGCTAATCACTAAAATAATTTTAATATATAGAATCAGATCCTAATCTTTATGTTTTAATCAATCCATTCTTAGCTCAATTCCTCAGAGAGTGGATACTGGAACAATGGAGAGAAAGGACAAGGAAGGGAAAAAGAGAGAGACAAGAGAGAGAGAGAGAGAGAGAGTAGGTAATGATAAGGGATAATAGATGAGATAATTTTAGGTGGGATGCAAGAAAAGGCATGGAGAAAAAACAAGACCTTTTTTAATAGAAAAAGAAGTATGTTAGATGAAGAAATGAAAATACAGCCCACAGGAGGATAAGGTATCCTCCAAAAGTACAAAAGGGAAAACATACAAAAACTTTACAAAAGTAAAACAAGTGTCAATGTAGCAACTACAGTACCATTACAAGTTGATACAAATTGTTCTTATTTGTTGGACTTGTAGATGGAAACTGTCTAGCTTAGAAAGAGGAACCCCAAAAAATAAAACATGCACTTCAGCCCAAAAAGGACCTAACCATGCAATGGTATCACAAATATCATTACAGAATAAAATGCTGGTTGAAAATTATTGCATTTCCTCTCCAACCAAACATATAAAATCCTGGGCCATATCCTCTTTCCAGAGATCAATGAAAAATTGGAAAGAAACAATGTTGTAAAGATGATCTTCATCAAATTTTTAATATTTAAAGAGTGAACTGATTTCATGTAACTATTTAGTTTTAACCTGTTAAGTAAAGGATCAATTACCCTCTGAAGCGCTCAAAGGAAACACAAAGAACAGAATATGAAAGCTGAATATAAATGGAGAAACAAAAAGCCTCCAAAATATAATTGAAGTTTTTTCAACTTACAAGTAGAGGTCATCAAAATCAATCTCAGGAAACAGGTTGATGTAAAAACGAAATCCATCAGGGCTTATATCTCTGCATAGTAAACCTGTCAATAAAGGAAGGGTGAATTAAATCTCAATTGTGTGGGCAATATACTAAGAGAAAATCGTTCAGAAAATGTGCCTTTGCTCTCAGCAGTGAGTAGGTGCTCCTTGGCCATGGCTGGAGCAATCCCTAGTGTCATTGCAGCATCACTTGCACTTATTCCAGTTCTAAGGGTCTCGGGCTTTGTCACAAGGGTTCTGATTCTAGAGAAAATCTACATTGTTATATAAAAGACAGGTTAATTTCATTAAATGTGGAATATTTTCTACGATAAAATATATAGCACGTGCTCATTAACTCGCAGAACCAAAAAAATATGCATTTTCCTGATTACAGAAACGTATTCATGCAGCTCTTCCACACAGGTAGTACATACTCCACCAATGAGCCTCATTCATTTTCCTTTCTAATATTTTTATATTGGAGCTTCTCTCATTCCTTTCATTGAGCATGATGATGCAAATCAAGCATTGATGAGCTTTAACATGCAACGTCAGGCACTTCTGCTTTCTTGGTCGCAGAAGTGCATTATTGAAACTGGGTTAGAAAGCTAGCTGGCTCTAGATTCAGAGGTTCCACTATAGCCGAAAAAGGGGAAAAGATCTTTTCTATAGATACTGACAAGATCATTTTGTCGGGAAACAGAGATACTAAAAACATTCTAGTAGTTATGCATCAATGTTCTAACAAAAATACTTGTGTGCATCAAAACCCCTAACTTCAGAAGGGTAAATTCACTAAACTATGACAAAATTCGGCAGACAGTGCCGCTATAATTGGTGGCGAACCTGCTTTGAGGAAAAACGTATCATTAGCTTATATGGTATTGGAAGGCTACAATTTTGAAGATGCAGTACTTATTAGCGAGCACCTCGTGTATGGAGATATTTATACTTTTTTTTAAAAATAGATACTTGTACTTCTTTTACATACGGAAACATAAAATTCGGACTTATGACAAGCCAAAGTCCCGAAAGGATCACTAGTGAAGTACCACATCTAGAAGGCCATTTACTCCGGATGTTACTTTTTCTTTTCTATTTTTTGGCTAATTACTCTCTCCTACTTTTTCTGTTATTATCATTATGGTGCGCCTAAAACTTGGTTTTACAAGATCAGAGACTTCATACGAAGGGAAGCCATTTTCTCCACTTGTGTCTCTTTGGTGGCTGATGTCTCATATGCTTTCAAGGGGTACTTCGAAAAAAATGATGCAGCATCTTTTTTAGGGGAGCAGATAGTTAAAGTTTCCCATTCACAATTTGCAATAATACTGTTCTTTTTTTCATGGGTCATCCTCTCCTTAAAGGAGTGATGTCAGGGACCTGTTAGATATTTGGCCAGTTCTTGGTCGTAATTCTGCTTTCTATTTGGTACACAGGCAGCATACTTTTGGTGCCTTTGTTTACATTGCTTCTTTCTTCTTAAAAAAAGGTTATATCTCTGTTATGAGTGCATCAGCTCATATTTGGGCCTATAAATTAACTTGAGCAGAAGTAGTTTGGCTGACAAGGTCATGTTATCGGTAGTCTAGCTGATATGTGGCAATCCACACAGCATCTTTTTCAAATCATATTTTGGGTAAGATCACAAAGCATCTAGGAATTGAGAATGTGCTCTTTTATCATTTGGGGCTCGGGTCACTCTCCATCAAGTGTGTTTGTCTAGTGTAGAAAGTGTTAGAATAAGGGTAGTTTAGTATTTATTCTTTCTGGACAAGTGGAATGTCCACCACCACCACCACCAGAACTTGGTTACGGTTGTTCCTTTTTTTTTTTTTTTTTTTCTCTCTCACACACTCACCTTTGGTGTGACATCAGGGCAATGAGTGCCTATAAATGGCACCTCACCCTCTCTATTTTAAGAAAGCAAGAAAGAAGAGAAAAACCTCTCATTTTATCTCTCTCAAACTCTGTTTCCATTAAAATCTTCATGGTATTAAAACGCCTCTGATCCAGAAATCTCCTTCCGCTTGCGCCAGATTCTTCAATGGCCACGGATGACCAAAACTCGTCATCACCCAAAGTTACTTCGGGTACATATCTCCCCAACTCCAACACTGGAATGGTGGAGCAACATTCATCGTTCATCACCAACCATCGACTCAATAGTGATAATTACCTCCAATGGTCGACGTCTGCGCGGCTATTCATCCGAGGGAAAGGATGTGATGAATATCTTACGGGAGAAGCTCCAGAACCTCCATCGAACTACCCACATGCTCGGACTTGAAAAATCGACAACAGCATAGTAATGTCCTGGTTGCTAAGCTCCATGACTCCCAAAATCAGTGAAAATTTCCTCTTGTACGAGACAACTCACGAAGTCTAGGAAGCTACCCGTGAGTTTTACTACAGCTGCGAAAACACCTCAGTAATTTTCGAAGTCGAATCCACCATCCACAAGCTACGACAAGGTGAGCTGAACGTTACTCAATATTATAACTCTCTCACCCGCAACTGGCAGCAGCTCGACGTCTTCGAAGATCATCAATGGAGTTGTCCAGAAAATGCTACGAAATACAGAGAAATTGTGGAGTAGAAAAGAATCTTCCGGTTTCTTATGGGGCTCAACAAAAGCTTTGATGAAATGCGAGGCCGAGTTCTAAGTACGAAACCACTGTTGGGTATTCGTGAGGTCTTCTCTGAAGTTCGTCGAGAAGAAAGCAAGAAGAAATTGATGTTGGGAGAACCTCAGTCGACTCAACTGAGTGAGAATGCTTATACTCTTACTTGTCGCATCTTTGATTCACATGGAAAGAAAGGACGTCCATTCTGTGAGTTATGCAAAAAGCCAGGGTACGCTCATGAGAAGTGCTGGAAGCTTCATGAGAAACCAGGAGAGAAGAGGATCATCGAGACACCTCACGGAAACTTGGCAACTTCGGAAGAGCCCTCTGTTCAGCCCGAGAGTGCTCCCTTCAGTCTAGAACAAATGGAGGCACTAGTGAAGCATTTTTCGTCGAAAATGGGAAGTTTGGGTAATTCCTCTACCTCTGTTGCCCAAAAAGGTAAATACCATTTGGTTTATCAGCATGGTTCCATAAAAACCAGATTTGGATTGTGGATTCTAGGGCATCTAACCATATGACAGGAAATCAGTCCTTGCTCGGTGATTATCTTGAATGTAAGGAAGATTTATTAATTAATATTGTTGTTGGTTCAAGTTCTAGAGTGGCAGAAATTGGCTCCACAAAAATATCATCCTGCTTGACACTCAACTCGGTTTTTTATGTGCCTAATTTATATTGCAATCTTGTGTATTTCAGAACTTGGTTTCGGGGAATACGATTGATAATGCTAGTAGGATAGATTCAGATCTCTATTATCTTTCAGTTAACCCACCTACCTCAAGTAGA